ACCAACCAGAACAACCAAACATGCCGGACACGCCAAACAACCTAAATGCATTCCTCTTGCCATGCATAGAGCCAACGTTGGAGCATCCATTCACCAGATGAAATGGAATGAGTAGAAAGAACGACCAAGCCATCACCAAATTCAATCATTTGGAATACAAATTACGAAGCACATGTTTTCAACGCCAAGGTCAAAACGAAATCTAAACGTGCCCGCGAAGCGGTGTGTTTCTGGATCGGCGTGGTGTCTATGTGCTGCCAAACTGGACAGCTCGAATGCTGAAGAACTGCAGCTTCAACTCACTCAAAGAGTTGCTTTCTCACCCAAACAAAAACCCAAACAAGACAACCTACGATCCCCGAGTTTCCTTCCGGTCGAGTAGGCATCCGGTTCCACTTCCCGTTCCACTTCCCGGGCAAGGCTTGCCCCGTGTCGAGGCTCACCAAAAGTCCGTGAGCGTCGGGAACTCCAAGGGGTTGGACTGCATCTTCGCAGTCATGCCCGCGACCTCTAGCACTCGCTCACGTCAGCTGGCACTAGGAGTGTGACCTAGTGATGGATTCCCTGAAACAAGAAAAAGCACCCGGGAAAACCAAGAAAATATCAACATCCTAGTTGGAGTAAGTTGGTTTTGGTGGTCTTCCGGAGGGGTTTCCCACTTACCCTCTAAGAACTTCAAATCCCCAAACCCACGACGGGTGCTCCAGCACTCCCCTGAAACTCTAACCTGGAACACAAAGCAACAAAAATGGGTGTTCGGTGTTTGTTTCAGGTGCCATGTCAGTTTTCTGGAAAGCAAACAGGATATGTACTACCTCTGGGCTTCAACAATGGTTTCTTCAGGGTCCTATTTGTAGTGCTGACTTGAATGACTGTTTGGTTATGCGATGTCCTGACACAGAGTCAGGAACGACCCCAGCAAATGCAAGCCCCGCACCAAACTGGGTGTGGCTGCAAGGAGACTTGACTGTGGCGGCCTGCCAAATCTTGCAACGGCTTCCCGCCATATTCCTGTCACCTCCGGTCCAAAAAAGCTACGGCAAAAGAAAACAAGTCGTCAAACTCCCACCGCACTACCTTCACCTCTTCACCACTTCCTAGGTGATGGCATTCTTGCGGGGAAATCACACAAGGATGTCATTTAGGCGAAGTGCCCACGTCCACACTGATTCAACAACTGAGCAGCTCTGATCGGTGTTCTAAACCATCAGATCCCTTTCGCAAAGGTTTTCTCGTAGCTGTAGCGGGATGAGGCGTTCCTTTCCACGAAAGGCTTTATCGCTTTGCATCCCTTTCGCGGATGGAACAATACGGTTTTAAGCTCCGTTTCAGTTTGTTATCGCTTTCGCATCGCTTTTGCGGATGGAAAAATGGGTTTTAAGCTCGGTTTCAGTTTTGTCATGCAGGAAGAATACAATTTCGTGGGCAAAAGAGGACCTTTCGCGCGCCTTTCACGGGCAGGTAAATCATTCACCCCTTTTGCGAACCCTTTCGCGGACCAGAAAACGAGCAAGATTTTGAAAAACATATTTCGTCACGAATGCTACTTTCAAATGCAAGGGTTTTAGAACGTCGCTCAACCAAAGTAGAGCGCTTCAAGTCAGAGACCAAATCAGATTGCAAAAAGCACCTGAGTCATCATCAAAACCCGGTATTGAAATGGTCTACCCAGAACCATGTAAAGAATTAAAAAGGCGGCCGCAACTATTTATGGTTGGGACTGTCCCTTACTAACCGGATCATCTACCCGGTTTTCCATTGTGGCTCTGGCCAGTGCCCAGGAACAGCCCCTCAGTCCCTTCGGCCCAGCTGCAGTGTTGCCATCCGCCGCTGCGACTTCATGGAAATGCTGCTCACCTGCGGTCACCGAAACATGGTCCACACAAATGAAAGACAGGGAAGCACGTAATGCAGCATGAAAATTTCAGGTTCTTCTCACTGGTGGTTGCCTTTTCTGTTGCCAGAAGTTCTTTTCAAAGCCTCGAAGGCTTCCTCATGATCTCGAACGAGTTTTGCAAATCTGTGCTGCATGTGTCCCGCACACGTGTTTCCGTGACGACAAGCTAAATCCTTTGGAAGGCCAGAAATTGATTCAGGATACGTTCTCCTTCGTGAACTTCCACCCTCGGACAGCAGGAATACGCCTAAAGCTTGGTCTCTGCCTCGAGCGGTCGCTTGGAGTTCCCCATGACACACATTGATGCGTGCCGACTGACGGTTCCCCAAAATCCTAGGTCCCACCTAAAAGCCTGCAGGTAATTTGGAACAAAGGACACATCACTCAGAATTGACTCCAAATGATTGGTGTTTCAAATCGCCCAACAGAGAACTCTGGCAACCCCAAATCTGGTTTTCTTAGCTTAGGCAACTTGTTCTGAGCAGCCCAACTGCAACGTGAATACCCTGGCCCTGTTCAGAACAACAGGATGATGCCCAAGAACCACCTTTCGTCTTCCGCACATCTGTGCTATCACGACATAGCATTCCAAATCACACAGGTGTTCCTTCAATGAGGGCTGTGTGATTTTTTGTTGGAGGACTCTTGGACATGATTTATGTCCCGGTGCTGGAAATTCGTAGACTGGGTTCCATGTTAAGGTTCGGGCGGGCACTGGAAACTCTTCTAAAGCTTCACCCGAACCCAACACATCAAATACAACCAAACTGAATCCTAAGGCTCAACGCCCGTGGTAATTTCACACGGACAGCATGGACTGAACATTGTCAACAAAAAGCCATTGATGTTCTTAAGCGATGAACTGACGCACCTTTTAACATTGTGTACCAAGAGTGACACTTTCCGTCCAAACAAAAGCAGCCTGACCACCTCGTTCACATAGCAGTTTAGTCTGATCTGTGATTCACCCAAGCCAATAGTGAAATCTGATTCAGATGAAACTTGCACCAATACTCAAAAACTTAAGTAAACCTACCTAAATCTACAGGAAAATGGGTATGCGTTAGTTCTAACGCGAACGGCAAATCTCTTCCAACAGCTGCCTAGGTCCTCCAAGTTGAGAGGTTAGAATAAGGGTACCCGTTTTTTTTCTCTCTGTTATTTTTTCGGTAGTCTATTTTAGCAGCGGAACCCTCCCAACCAAAAGAAAGGAACGGTAAAAGGGGCACCTGGCTAGGGGACCCCAATCGCGGCCGTCGCCTTCCTTTGCGATCTTGGGCAACGGCTCCTCGCCGGGCCCAAGAGCTGCAGTGAGGATAGGCAAGCCCAACCTGGGAGAGGGTTGCAGGCCACGAGATATGGCGAACACAACATAATTAGAGTTAGGCCCAGCTATAGAATGTATATTTTAGTGTTTGCTTCACTTTGAATCACTGGTAAAATGTAAAATATATCCACTCGCCCCACTTTGAACCCTGGTTGAAACCATGGTTTGTTGTTATGTACAGGGGAATCGAATCATTCCAGGGTTTCTTAGGTGGTGCAGAATTCCGCCCATCCACAGTATGGCCAACACAACAGGAACATGGCACACGCTTGACCTGTCGGCCTGTCGAAAACGCAATGATTCTTCAGTTGGGTCAAAGACACACTCTACAGGCACGCTTTAGGAGGCCTCGACTGATCCCGGATTTCAAGAGAACAAGCGACTCACAAACAGACGGAAGTACGCACAAAAGCCGTGTTCCGAACTAGAGAAGTGGAGCTAGCTTAGCTGAAGCAAACGCTCTAGACGAGAGCGACTATAAAATGTACAGCCTGAGGCGCCTGAGCAAGCAAAAACAAACAAGAGAGAAGAACAAAGTGGAAGCAAAGCGAGAAGAGGAGCAAAGAGAAGAGCAGGGAGAAATGGCATGCGAAGAGATAACGGCAAAGAGACGAGAACAACGGCACGAGCGTGGATACAGTTGTGTGAAGGGGTACGGTAAAGGCATAAACACAATAAAGGGGAAGGAGAGAAGACAAACAAAGTAACAAGACAACATCAGACACACGTGATAACGCATTGCGGCTGACGGATGGCGGACAAATCGAGATTTGAGCTTGCGCCAAATCCTGAGATATCAGGTGTGGGAGCTCAGCCCGCGAAAGAAGATCTACAGCTTAGAGAAATCCCGCACCTAGCTTCCGTGCTCAGACATGTGGTAAGGTATATACATATATGCATTAATATGTTCAGGCAATGATGTGATATGCTGTATTCCAAAGACACTAGCAACTCGCTAAGTCAACACCCTCAAGCTTCAGTGGTTGCAAATGGCAAAAGATGCAGTGCTTTTTCGTCCCATATATAATTGCTGGAGACACCTTTCAGTTCATAAATGTTGACTGTGGAGCTTTTTGCGTGATCTATACGCTTCCAATAGACATCCTCAATTCCAAAGCCTTGGCTACATATTTAAAAAAAGAAGGCCACCAGGTCAGGGCCAGTAGTCAGGGCCCATTTTCCGAGCTGGGCATCTGGGTCTCCCACAGGAGCCGTTTGGCCCAGGCCATGGAGCACGGAGCCCTTTCACCGGCCCCACGTGCCCAATCCTTGAGCCAGCTCCTTGGTCTCATTGTCTGAGACAAGTGGAATGCAGCATCCAAGCACATGACTTTTGCCCGTGTCAAATATCCCGAATAAAGCAAAGTTGGGCTAGAGTCACATGTTTGTTTTTGTAATATGCTGTGCTACTTCTCTGGTACCTCCTGTGAGGGATCGTGGCAAACAATATGGTCTTGTCGCATGGTCAATAGGAGGGGCCTGGTATATAAGATATAAGCGATCTCAAGTTGTGTACATTTACAAGGCGGTCAGTGATGCATCAAAAGACCTTGAAGCCGTTCACTAGTAGTCAGTTTACAGCAGCATTATAAAACCAACAAAACAAAATCACAAGCGGGACTGCCCAATACTGGTTCACATTCAATCAAACAGCCAAACCGCGTGGGTTCAACTAGGTGCTCCAATTGACTGCACAGCAGACTCTTCCTTTGGAGCGAACAGCTGCAAACTTGTGGCATGTGTCTGCTGTGACCCTCGCCAAAACTCGCGCTGGGCCTCGTCCGTTGCCTTCTCCTTGATCTCCTGCTGCGGCTGCATGTGCGACATCTCGGAAAGCAAATGAGCTCCCAACACGGTGTGTTAATTGCCCAATGAATGCAGGGAATGGGCAGCATCCCATGGCAACTGTTTCCTGTACAAACACAACACAGCAAAGCTCATGATCCCCGAAAGCTTACCTGCAAGTGTCGAATTGTTCGGGGGAGCGGTGGGGGCCCCTGCAGTACTCGAAATCCAAGCTCAAGGAACAAAGGGTTGTCTGGGCAAAGATCTCAGACCCCTCGCGCAGCTGGTGCTATCTCGCTATTGGTCCAGTGGCATCCCGTGCTTCCCACTTCTGTGTTCCCGAGCTGACACAGTTGAACAACCTGCAGGTATTTGGCTTCTCCTCACCGTTTCTGACCACATCCGATTGAAAAAGCAGCTACTGCGATGTATTTCAACACGACATTCCCTCTGCGAAACTATTCTAAGTAGCACTGCGAACTCGAGAAAAGGGCGGTGTACGAACGTGCTGAATTGCTCAGGGAGTGGTCATGGTTCGCCCAAGGTAATATCCCGTGCAGACACAGGTTGATGGCCATGTTCAACCCGGTTTCACCAAGTCTCGCAACCATGGAGCTTGGCTCCCAACTGAACCACCCCATGCTCGGATTCCTCAGACGCCCCCCATTCAGCCCGCTCAAGCCCTCCCCACCTTCTCTGTAGCTTGCTTGGGCTTCTTTGGCTCCTCCGATCCCCGTTGTCAGCTCCAATGTGGGCGTGTGTCAACATAGGGTTTCGGACCCCCCACAAATGCGGCTCTCCTTTTGGCTTCCCGTTGAAACCAGTTAAATCCAAAGGCAACCCTCAGTACTGTGAGTGGATGAACAAACTCCTGCAGCTGAATGGTTCATCCCCGCGTTCGTAAAGTCTCATGTGCCCCAACTGGTAAAATATGTTGTCCATCCAGAGTATGTTCTGCACGAGTGTGCCGTGTTTGGCTTGTACCTCCGGCTGCTTCACATACCAAGAGAAGCCACTTGTTGTACAAACCGTTGGCTCGCAGCATATAGGCGTCGGTTAGTGTACTGCGCCTATGTTCCTTTCGGCGGCGCTCCAAACACAAACGCCAAAGACAACGCGCGAGGCTCCTCCTTGGAAGACACTTTCTTTGGTGTCTTCTTGTCTGCCTGGCCCATGGCAAGGTGTCACATGTGTCAAACGTTCCCTTCAGCAACTCTGGCAACGGCTCCAAATGAAAGCTGCATAGGCTATAGATCAATATTTGTTGTTTGAGCCAAGGTTGCGTGAAGGATTTTGCCTCAACGTTCCTGTGCATATGGCACCCCTTGGCATGATTAAAGTTAGGCCCAGTTATAGCATGTATATTCTATTGTTTGCTTCACTTTGAGTCACTGGTAAATATGTAAAATGTATCCAAAGTCCAGTTGGACGGCTGTAAAAGAACCCCAAGAAACAGACCTCGCGTTTCAGGTTTCGGCTCACAGCCATTTGGTTTAGCCAAGACCCCGCGACCAAACAACCCCGACATCCAAAGGCTTGGCCAAAGCTCATGCTCATGCCAGGGAAGGGCAAACGCCCTTCACACCTGAACAGCTACCCTGGCAAACTGATCATCAATGACAAGCAACCGGGATGAAGTCGAACATCAGGCAGGCTACAACGGAGATGTGCGTTGCCATCAAGAACGCTTCAGCTTCTAGCTTTGACTAGGTGCGCTTTCCAGCGTGTTGTGAGAATTGTCAAGTAAGTCTCCTGCCCCTTTGCCAAAACCTGGGAGACATCACTAGTTTCAGTTTCAGTTCAAGTAAAGGACCAGATAAGCTTGCGCCAACCGTGCTCAAAATGGCGGCGAATGAATGTGCCTGGACCCTGGCCTTACAGGTTTGTTCGATTGCGGCATCAATTGGCGCAGAAAGCCAACTCCAACGCTTTGCCACGACGGGCGTGCGCCCCGCGGTTGTGGTTTTAAGGTGCCACATGCCTGTCCGGACTGCACAAGAACCTGCGCGGACATCTCGCAGCCCGATTTGATATGGCTGCGCACGACAACAATAAGAAGGTCGCTTTCGAATACGTACGACAACTTTCGGTGACGGCCACCGTTAATTATAAGAAGCGGAAACTAGTTACATGAAACATATTCAACTTTTGAATCTGTTTCTACGAGGAACTACTCTAATGTGCGAGTTGGTTGATTGTCTGCTGATTGCTGCCAGCTCGGGTAGATTTTCTCAACTTGGCAATCCTGCATGCCCCATTGCACATGCCAGGGGCAAATGCTTGCAAGGAATGTGAGATGCTTTGCCAGCGTTTGACGATGTATGTGTTTCATGCTATATACATACTACATATTATGTACATATATATATATATGTATGTGCGTGCGTGCGATTGTAGAGCCATGTCCACAATGTAGTGAATATTCACAATGGCTGTTTTGCAACAACAAAACAGTCACATGTACACAAGTGTACTCGCAAAGACACTAAATACGACTTAGTGTGCCGATAGTGACGCACCTTGAACCAAGGAGTGGCCGGACCCGACGACACTGCCCAGCCCATGTGTGCCATTTCAAAACTCCGCATGATGACATGGTTGAGGCTCTTCTACTAAGTTGTCCAAAATTGATATTGAGGTCTTGGTGACGATCCCTACCACTTTCAAGTGGATGGGTCGCTTGAGCGTGGCCGCACACGTGCTTGTCAAACGCGAGGGACGAAAGACAGACGCTGCATGCCTCCGACTTCTTCTGCTCCACCTGCTGCTTTCCATCCTGCATGCGTCTGCTTTGCGGGTGGCATCACTGCGACAAGCTTTAAGTCCAGGGCCCAGGCGTTTTGAAGGATGTTCCAACCATGTTCTAGATTTAGGCTCAAGGACAAATCAGCCTGCACAAAACTACACATGAGACGTGACAACAACTTGGAAGATTGGACTACACATCATTCAATTTGGTATTTGCATGTTCAATCATGTAACACTTCGTCAAACAAACACCATTGTTCAAGCAACATTGGAACCTTCCCTGATCTCCGTCCGGACATCCTGAAGCCACTGGGAATCAAGCAGCAACAAAAGTTCAAGGATGGAGATTCACCGAATTCCGCATGCGCTGCCAGCGTGCCAGGAGTTCTCGTATCAAATAATTCGGCAGGGATGGCTGAGCAATTTCATGTAGGCACTGTGGATTGGGCAACAAAGTTAAAACTTGTCGATTCCCACTGAAACGGCCTTCACAAAAAGGATAAAGTCCAGGAACTCGTGGAATGAGAGGAAGTAGAAGCTAGGCGCAATGAGCAGCCACGACATCAGCGTGCCTCTCCGGTCTTTTCCTCCTTTGCCTTTGCTGGCTCCTGCGAATGTTGGCCCGATCCAAAAAAGGAAGCTAGGCGCAAGCATATACCCTTCCAAGAAAACATTTTCAAGAGCTGCTGAGAAACAATGCAAGGCAAGATCTGTGTGCCTCTTTTTTGTGAAATGTGTGCCATACGTCCATTTCATACTTTTCCAAATTTCATGACGTGCGAAGTAGAGGCTGCCAGGCAAGATGATAACATCACTATAGCAAATGTTGAAGGCATGGCTTCAATTACCAACTGTCCGAATACGGCTCTATCTGAGCCTTTTCAAACTGTCAGCATCAGTGTGTGTGTGTGTGTGTGCGTGTGTGTACATGTGTTTGTGCGCTTGGCACTTGAGCCCTAAGTACCTGTCTTTTGGTCAAGCCCGTTTGCAGGCCACCCCTGAGCACTTCAAACTGGACGAGCAAGGGCCTGTCACCTTGTCTGTTGACTTGGGAGAGCAAGCGCGTGTGTCTGCAGTTGTTTTGGATTTTGAGTGTGCGCCGTCAGCTTTCGTGCTGCAGATCAGCTCTAACGATGGCCGTTGGACGGAGGTGTACGGCCATAGATTCCAACGCCTTGCCGCGTGTGAAAGTGGCTTTGCAAAGGAGAGCTCCCCCTTGGATGGCAATCCCAACAGGTGTTCAGTGCTCAAACCAAATACCAGACTTGGCTTCCATGTGAAGCAACGGTGCCTGTGTACTGCACGCTCTGTCGGCTCCATCAATAATTATGGATGCCCGCCACGCCAGCCATAGCAATTTCGAGCGTGTTTTTTGGTTTCGTCATGTTGCACATGGGCGGACTGCTTCTTTCTGTTTGACTCTCCTTTCACAACCATCCAGAAAAGATCGTTTCTGAGACATGCCTATGTTGGCCCTTGCCTGTTTTTGAACGAAAGACAAAGCCAAAGAGGCCTGAGCTTGGCTTAGTGGAGCCCCGCTTTGTGGGGTCCTCGAGTCCTACACTTGGACGCTCAAATCTTGCGGGCTATCCATCGTTGACAGCCATGGCTCTGCAAGAGTTCAAGGCCACCAATTCCTATCAGCACAGGCATGTCCTAGCAGGCTTGAACAAAAAGGCCACCAATTCAGTGATTGCTGACTACAACCTGCTTTGCGCCTTCTCCTTGGTGGAAGACACTTTCTTTGATGCCTTCTTCTCCGACACCTGCATTGAACAAGCAAGCTCGGGTCGCCCATGCTGTTGCAGTGTTCGTGCAATACAAAAGCAGTGCAAGAGCGTGACACGTGCAAACATATTGGTTCCATGTGCGTCCACAGTAATATGACAAGCCCCAATGTTGCACTAACGCCGGCTCGACAGTAACTACATGCATCTCCTCCGACTCACAAGCATAACGCGAGGAGAAGATGTATGCCTCTTTCTACTTGCCACGAGTACCTGATATGGTATATCACAGGGCATATCATAATATCACCAATTCAACAAACAAAGCTATGTTTACCCCTTATCTAGCACGCACAACTGTACCACATGAATTCGTAAACACATGACAAGAAGATGTTCCTGAATCAATGTCCAACAGCATTGTAGTTTTAAGGCAGAAGGTGCAACAAGAGAAAGTTACTTTCTGCTAAACGATCCCGTCTAAATTGGTTCATACCAAGCCTCAAAACCGCGGCGCACGCAAACACATGCAAAGAAACCTTGAAGAGGCACAATACTCCCTCTTATGAAACGCGTTGTTCTTGTCCCTCGTATCTGTGTGTATGCAAGGTCAGCACTTGTTTGGCCACAACCACGACAGTACCATTCGCTTCACGTGTCGTTTGGAAGTCCACAGAACCCAGGGACGCTCATCATAGCTGACAGGGCAGCGTTTTTTTGTTGGTTGTGCGGGCCCTTATCATTCTTTAACTGCTTACGTGGCGCCTACGCCAAGCCTACGCAAAACGCACCAGTCCGACAAAATCGCCTAATACGCGAGACCGAGTTCACTAGATACCTGCCTACGCCGCCTACGCGACAACGAGGAGCTCAACGCACTTCTTACACTCGGCTACGGAGAGGGTCGTTGGGAGCGTGCTTGGGCAGGAGCGCGGCAAAAGCTCGCGAAGAAGGCGGGCGTGAAGTCGGCGCAGTAGGCTGCAAAGTCTTTGCCTGCATGGCGGCCTGAAGAAAGCAAAGGGGTAGCACGGAGGCGCGCCTACGCAGAGCCTGCGCGAAATCCCCCCTGTTCGTTTCTCGGAAATTTGGGATATGCTTTTACCCAAAAGCATGCGCCGTACGCGTTGTCAGCTGCACTGCCGGACAAGCGGACCTTCTCCTCCCTCCGCCAGAAACTGTCAGCTTGCGCCGCCACGCTGCAAACAGCTGGCGAAAAACTGTAACCGACAGCTTGCGCCAAACTGCCACTCAAACGGTCACACAACCACGTCTTGCATAACAAGAATGCTCAGCATGTCACGTAGCAGTACGCGACTGCCTACGCGACTGCCTACGCGACTGCCTACGCGAAGCTTCGCAACACCAGCCTCTGCAAAATTATCTACGCACGCCTACGCGGTTGTGGCCCTGTCAGTCCAACGCTTAGGCGACATGTAAAAATGTCGCCGCGAAGTTTGTGGGCCTTCATCCCCAAAAAACGATGTCCGAAGTAGTGGAAACATGATTCATGTTTGTTTTGGGCCATGTTCATGGGCAGCATGACAGTATGACCAAGAAATATCATATATATATATATACATATATATATATATATTATAGCTTCCGCAAATGTCAAGGACGCCAGGGGGCCCAGCCTCTTCCTTTTTCTTCTCCACCGGCTTCTTCGCCTTCAGGCAATTGCCGCTGCACAAAACACGAGCCGCATCAGTCGCCTGTTTGAGCCTTCTCTACCTGGCCCATAATGTTGACCCCGTATTAGTATGCACCCCCCCCCCCGTGGCAGGGAAGATTACGTACAATGTGCCGCCGCGCGCCTTCAAGAGCAGAACGGCTCACTGTTGCACATGGACTCTTTTGGTGCAATCCCAAGAGTAGAAAGGAATGTCTTGGCATGCCCCACCCTGAAAGAACCAGCTAGTTTGTAGTAATAGAAAAAAGGGTGAGGGGTGATGAAGACCAGATGAACATCCTCTCTTTGGTTGTGAGAGAGTGTGATAAAAGCACACGGTATACCTTCGTGAAGTAGTATTAATAGAAACAAATAATGATGTCCTCCTATCTATCACTTCCATATTTTTCTAAATTAAACGTTTGCTGGCTCACCAAGATAGAGCATGGAAATGGAAAGAGGAAAATGTTAATCAAATGATTAAAGCCACAGTAACAGATAACAGAGTTAGAGAAGATCGAATGTCAGTGAGGAAGAAGTAAATAGTAAACAAATGCTGGTCAAATAAACATAAAAGGAAAGAACAATCAGAGAGATATAAAAAAAAAGGGTCAGGGAGAGACGTAGCCTGTCCGTGAGACGTCACTTAAGCAATAATAACAGTTAAGCGTCTCTTCATTCATCACTCTATTTGGACAGGCAATATTCTGATGAGAAAACTATTAACTTCCTTCGGTCACTTCTAGCGATGAACATGATTTTATTAATGAAGATTGATTCAGTAGGATTTGACAAGTATTAGCTTGGGAGGCAAAAGGAAACCCCTTAAAAAGAGAAGGTGAGAAATACACCCCAATCGATACAAATTAGTTAACATTACTCATGAGATTCTAGTAAATAAATAGCCTTTCGTAAATAGTGTTCCGTCCTTCTCCAGCAACTTTGAACTATTAATATCCTTTTCATTCTCACCTAAAACTCAAGAATATTGCACATATCTAATGATACAATAGGAAGTGAGTGAGAGATTTTGCAAGGAAATTCTAATAGAACAAAAGCAGAAAGAAGATACAACTAAATAAACTCCATGAGTAAAGACCAACAGCCTCTTCAGAGTCAAGCAAACTATCTATGGTTATAATTTGTGTTTATTCTTCATCATGCACTAATATCTTCTCCAATATATTTGTGTAAATGGGATGAAGTGGTCACGGGGTGAATTTAAAGGCAATAATTACAGAATCGTTGTAATCTCATAGCTTACTGCGTTTTATTATCTTATTGCGTTTTCTATCATATCCATCATTGTCCACTCTAGGTTTTTCACTGTGTTGGAGAGGGTTCTTGATGGACAAGAATAATGTGTCTCCCAATAAACAGTTTCATTTATTAACATTCTTTATTACTTTCATGTTCTTGGTTCTGTCATTTGCCTATTGATTTATTTATTTATGTATCTATTATGTTTCTTCATAGGCCTTTTTCGTAATTCTTACTAATCCTGATAGCCGCGAAAGACGGGAGAGCAGAAGGAGTGTTAGCCAGTTCCTCTTCTTCATATTTGTTATTACCCCCCGGGTTTTTTCCCCCATCCAGATGCCTCCAACGTTTACAATGCGAGAGAGAGAAAGAGAGATTGGGAAGATAGATAAACAAGTAGAAAGGTTGCAAAGTGAACAAGTACATGAGAATGCAACCAGCAGATGAGAGACTATGAACCTATTCTTGGTAATGATTAACTTTCTCTTCCAACCATCGTGATTTTCTTTACATCGCCAATTTTTTCAACCTCACACCCAGAAGCATTTCTATACTTCTCAGATAATATTGTAAATGGAAGACAACAAAGATAGACATTCAAGCAATAAATGGGATGGTAAACCGAAAGGCAATGATCTTAATAACGACATGTCCATCCACAAATGTTTCCTGGATGAGGTGGAAGAGATAGAAAGGGAAGGATACAAGCTCTTGGGACCACAAACCAACCTCTCTTCCTCCGTGACTTGGACAAGGAAAGGACGTCGGTGACATACATGGGAAAATCAGGATGCGATCGGAGGAAAAGAAAGAATCACGTTACTTCTGCTCACCCTCTCCTATCTTCTCTTCTTCTTCTTCTTCCCAAGCATCACACGGCATAAGATTAACAGCAGCCTATGCTTGAGGAAGAAGTCAAGAGAGGCCTCTCACTTCCCATTTTCAATCTTCAATTTCATCAAAAGGAAAGAAAGAAGTGATAGAAAGACATGGGAAGTGCCCATCCAATTCGTTATCTTCAATTAGTATTGATGGGCGCTTACCTCCTTGCCAGACGCTTTACTTCTTCATTTCCAAAACATGGCAATGTAAAAGACAAGGCAAGGAAAATGACAAGCATTGGCTGGGCCGGGAAAGGAAAGGTCATCTTCTTCCATCTGTGTTTTTACAGAAAGAAGCGGGTTGTGGAAAGTGGCTTTATTTTTCTACAAATAAACCAAAAATAAAGCCAATATCCCCTTCCTTCGTCCCACTTTTAGACTGTTCCATCGTGAGTCTTTCGTAGTGACAGAACTCCAGAACGTAGTGGGGAAGGGAAAGGTAAAGATGGCACGGTTGCGATACAGTTGGAGAAGAAGGAACGGGGGGGCTAGCTTCTCCCTCCTTCCTTCACCCCTCGATTTCTGGCATTCTTCAACGGTTGAAAAGGGAAACAGAAGAAGGGGAAGGATGAAAGGTCCAAAAGATAGTAAAACACAAGCAAAATAATATGAGTAAGACCTACTCATAATCTCTTTTTTTTCGGTGAGCCCCAGCGACGACCGGACAGCCAAAAGCATTCACAAAGAAAGATAGCGTAATGAATCTCAACAAGGGAAGAATAAAATAGAAAAGAACGAGGAATGTAAGTATGGTTTTAAGATTAGAAGCATGTATTAGCACGTAATAAATTAGATAGCTTCTGTAAGCACCACCCATAATTATCTTTAGCTTTGTCATAACTGTCTCGCGCCCTTTTTATGTTGTTAGCTTGTATAAAACAGGATTTTGAAAAGAAAGGGAGGATATTACGTTTTCTACCGTAATTATTACTGCCTGCAAATGCTTTCGTCACTTCTTGCCCATCCATAAATGCAAATAAAGGATGAGGATGGATGGACAAGAGGAAACAGGCAATGATTTGGAAGAGGCCCCAAAGACAGGCTGGAAAGGGATAGTGAGGGAATCTTCAATCATCATATCCTCCAAGTCTCACGGACAGGCTATCTGGCGTATTCTGCGTGATGTCTGGGCGGAAGATGTTCTTCATCATTCTTTGTTCTTTCACACCTTTCCCTTTCCCTTACCTTCATCGATTGGTCTAACCTGGTATGCGATAAAATCTCTGAGATACAAATGAATCCATCCCACAATCCCAGTAGCCTTTCCATGTCTTTCTATTTGCACGGTTTTCTCCATCTCTTTCTCCATCAGGTATGTGTGGTATGAAAGTTATCCAAAAGAAGCGTGTTACAGAAGATGTCCTCTCTCCTTTACCTATCTTATGTTTATTTCTTTATCCCTGTCTTTTCCATCCTAGTTTATTGAGTTGATTGTAGGAAGAAATGGTCAGGGGAGAGAGTGAAAGATAAAGAAAGGAGTATGAATTCGAGATCCTAAAGAAAAACAAACACATGGAAATAACAGAAAAGAGAGATTCCAAATGAAAAGATAATATGCTTTCCTCCCCATTTCCTTACCAAACTTCAACCAAATGAAACAAACTTGACCCAAAAAAAGCCGTTAAGGGAAGGACGGTGATCAAGTTTTATCAAGTTTACAATGTTCACACCTTTACTTGTAATTTGTGTAATTCTGGACCGACTTTTTACAAACTAGCTTGTGCAATTTGCAACCCCCGAGCAATGTTTGTTCAAATCCAGCTTGTAATTCTAAATCGGATGTTTGCTGACATTGAAACGTACTCTGGGGAATTTGCTTTCCGGGGAGATTTGGCTGGAGTTACATTACAAGTTATACACATTTTGCAGATTAGTTTCTGAACTATGCCAAATTCCAACAAATATGGTTAACAATTAAGCATTTCACAAATTTCGCAAGTACATGTGTAAAAAGAGAAATTTCCAGATTTTACAAATGAAATTGGAAAAAAATGTAAAATATCAAAGTAAAATTTGTAAAAAATCACAAATCTGGCCCAAAATTACAAATTTTACAAATTCTAGTCTGAGAAATTAGCTTCCAGGGGAATTTGGTAGGAATTAAATTACAAATTTTACATTAATTTGTAAAATTTGTAAAATATCAAAAAAATATGGCCCAAAATTACAAATTTTTATCAAATTAATTTGTAAAATTTGTAAAATATCAAACAAATATGGACCAAAAATACAAATTTTACAAATTCTAGTCTGAGAAATTAGCTTCCGGTGGAATTTGGAAGGAATTAAATTACAAATTTTACAAATTTTGAAAAAATTAATTTGTAAAATTTGTAAAATATCAAAAAAATCTGGCCCAAAATTACAAATTTTACAAATTTTACAAATTAATTTGTAAAAATTGTAAAATATCAAAAAAATATGGCCCAAAATTACAAATTTTACAAATTTTACAAATTCTAGTCTGAGAAATTAGCTTCCAGGGGAATTTGGTAGGAATTAAATTACAAATTTTACAAATTTTACAAATTTTACAAATTAATTTGTAAAATTTGTAAAATATCAAAAAAATCTGGCCCAAAATTACATTTTTTACATTTTTTACAAATTAATTTGTAAATTTTGTAAAATATCAAAAAAATATGGCCCAAAATTACAAATTTTACAAATTCTAGTCTGAGAAATTAGCTTCCAGTGGAATTTGGTAGGAATTAAATTACAAATTTTACAAATTGTACAAATTTTACAAATTAATTTGTAAAATTTGTAGAATATCAAAAAAATCTGGCCCAAAATTACAAATTTTACAAATTAGTTTGTAAAATTTGTAAAATTTGTAATTTTGGGCCATATTTTTTTGATATTTTACAAATTTTACAAATTAATTTGTAAAAATTGTAAAAATTGTAATTTTGGGCCCGATTTTTTTGATATTTTACAAATTTTACAAATTAATTTGTAAAATTTGTAAAATTTGTAATTTAATTCCTACCAAATTCCCCTGGAAGCTAATTTCTCAGACTAGAATTTGTAAAATTTGTAATTTTGGGCCATATGTTTTTGATATTTTACAAATTTTACAAATTAATTTGTAAAATTTGTAAAATTTGTAATTTTGGGCCAGATTTTTTTGATATTTTACAAATTTTACAAATTAATTTGTAAAATTTGTACAATTTGTACAATTTGTAAAATTTGTAAAATTTGTAATTTAATTCCTACCAAATTCCACTGGAAGCTAATTTCTCAGACTAGAATTTGTAAAATTTGTAAAATTTGTAATTTTGGAGAATATTTTCTTTACCTTACAAATTATTTTGTAATATCTGCAATTTCATTCCTACCAAATTCCCCTGGAAGCCAATTTCTCAGACTAAGATTTGCAATTTTATGAAATCAATTCCTATACAAGATCTGCCTGAAAGCCAGCTCTCAGTGTGATGTTGATGCCCAGACCTCTCCCCGGCACATTATACATACTCTTCCCTCTTACACCCCCCCCCCTTGAAGGTCAGAAGGTTTTGGGGGGGGGCTAGATTTTGGAAGATTTTTTGCCTTGACCCCCTAAATCATCTGGAATTGAGTTTCCATTTGATTTAGTATTGCTGGGGCTTCCTTTTGAGATCTGGAATTGAGTTTCCAGTTGATTAAGTGTTGCTGGAGCTTCCTTTTGAGATCTGGAATTGAGTTTCCATTTGATTTAGTATTGCTGCAGCTTCATTTTGAGATCTGGAATTGAGTTTCCATTTGATTTAGTATTGCTGGAGCTTCCTTTTGAGATTGGAATTGAGTTTCCATTTGATTTAGTGTTGCTGGAGCTTCCTTTTGAGATCTGGAATTGAGTTTCCATTTGATTTAGTATTGCTGGAGCTTCCAATTGAGATCTGGAATTGAGTTTCCATTTGATTTAGTATGATTTAGTATTGAGAAGGCCTGGTTGCCTTTTTTTGGGGGGTGGGGCCGATGGACCGCACTAATTGGGGGGGGGTTATTAATTAGGGGTGTAAGGGGCTAATGTGGGGTACCCTTTGAAACCTTCTAAACTTGTATTTTTAGTAAAGGATTTAATAAGAAATCGACCATCTCAGAACACGTTTTGTTTTGTGGCTTGGGCAGGCCCAACAGCATCCACCAAGCTTCAAGATGAGAGTGGGAGGTGGAGATGAGAGCCCTAAGCAAGGCAGCAGCATGAAAAGAAAGGTATCAGAAGAAAGCATGAGCCCATTTCAGCCAAAGCACCTTTTCAGGACACCATCCAGAGAAAGCATGGCAAGCAGCATGAGTTTACATTGTAATGATCTCAAGAAGCAGTGGAGAAAATGAGATAGCAGCAGCCATCTGGGGGAGGGACCGGTTTATTTGCTTTTTTTCTTTTAAGATCCATTTTTTATTTGGAGGATAATTTCTGAGTTATGAATTGTTTAGTATTGGGGGGGTGTCACCCGGACCGCATTAATAGGGAGGGGATTTCTAATACGAGGTCAACATTACCTTGCTAATCAGAGGAAGCGTATCTCCCAAAATAGGGGAAGCCTCAAAATGGGCGGCTTCCCTTTAACTCCCCTTGAAACCAACCCAAAAAAGGTATCAACAAAAAAACTGTACTAAAGAAACACCCATATACTTACTCAGTTCGCTGCCCACCTTAATCAAGGGGAATTCGCTCCCCAAGCAAAGTCTCCGTCATGTGCATCTACTAGAGGCTTGTGGATCAAATCACGTGAGGCACGTTTTCACTGCGAGTTGATAGTTTGCCTTGCATGATCAAGAGAATCTGCTGTGTCTAAAAAGTGGCGACTTCTCCAATTGCTAGCCTGGAGTATTAACTTGACAGTTGCTTGCCTGGGAAGACCCTCAAACATCTCTGAGGGACCCTAACCTTAGGAAACATGCCTGGTCTATCCTGGTCTTCTGCTATTCGCAACACACCACAGGTCTGAACCTCCAGTGTTTCATCTGACCGACTTCAACTCTCTCCCCAAAAAATACACCTAATAAAGCCAGGTTGCGCGGGTGGAACCACACCCGGCCTCGCTCTTTCCCGCTTTGGCCTTGGGCTCCTAGCTGACGTCTCCCGAGTGACGCTCAGCTCGGATTCGCAACCCTACGGCCACTCTTTGAGAAGACACTCCCACCGGTGCATGCGGTACCCGGTTGGAACAAATCCTACAGTCCCACAGGAAAAGGTTTCTGTTGAGAGCGTCTGCATCTGGAAGGGAAACGATCAGTGAACATCAATCAATAACAAGCAACAAAGTGAGCCGCAATCTTTGACACAAGTTTACTACAAGAACCTCGGTAGTGGTTGCGACCAACATGTCGCTTCACGCGCCTCCTTGGAAGACACTTTCTTTGATGTCTTTCCTGCCTCGCGCTCATATTTACGTCCGAGCGGTTGGAAATCTCATCTCGAAGGCTGAACCATGTCAAAGGGTCTACAGCGCTTTTCACAAAGCAGCGCTGCATGAGGCCATGCAAAGTCGCGAATATCAAGACGTGAGATAAATCTGAAGAGCCCGCATCAGTTCGAAGCTACAATCATCCTCATCTTGATCGTCTTCGTCATCGTCTTCGTCATCGTCATCTTCAGCAACAGCAACAGCAGCAGCAGCAGCAGCAGCAGCAGCAGCAGCAGCAGCAGCAGCAGCAGCAGCAGCAAGCAGCACCAGCAGCAGCATTGTTCCCTCGTCTCATTACCTCGAATTGGGTGCATAGTTGTGGGCAGCAGGGACATAGATTAGCTGAGTTTTTAGCATGCAACACATGTGGGTGAATGGAACACAATACAGTCGTCACAATGCCGGTATTGTGATACGCATGCCGATGGAAACACATTGAGGCCAGTGTTCCGTCGCTGTGACAGAAGGCGTCACACATTTGTCTTTCCGTAAATGGGGCTTGAATTACTTGACCAGTATGATGTCTTGCGAAAAGATACTTCATGCGGAAAAAAATAAAATCGCCTCGTTTGCAAGTCGTCCTCGATTCCAGCGCTAGGTAGAACAAACTGCTAAACTAGGCATCCTTCAGAAGTTGGCTCGGCTGTCCAATAGCGCAGGCCTCGGGAAGCAGTCACGCAGTACCTCGACACATCACCCGCTGCTAATTTCTATAGACCAGTGCACTGCCATAGGGTCCCACTGCGTCTAAGAGAGTGGCCCAGCTGACTCAGCTAAACAAGTGAAAAGAGCGACTCAACATCGAAATCTTGGTATTACCTGCTGGCCAGAGTATGGCAGAGTTCCAAGACATACAAGCTCTCCCTTTGAACCTGTCGGAAAGCTATCGAAGCCGAAAACAGTACAAGAGATCGTTGAGGTGCTTGATCCAGGACGTTGCAGGGTTTCCATTGGTTACCTGCGTGGTGGCTCGCAAATTCGGGTTTGTATCAGGAATGCGCCTTCAGCAAACTGAGGCGCCCTCGACCCCGCACCTTCGCAGCTTTGGCTGGCTCTTTCATGGCGGCTGGCTCTGTGGCCTGTGCACAGGACAACGCATGTGGCAGAGCAAACACTATATGGCCTCAGATTTGGCCGCAGAATGGGCTCAAGACCTGGAAGGCCGCCTTGAACCCATCCTAAACCCACCCTACCCAATTCCCGCCCAAAACCCATCTCACACCACCCTAAGCCATCAACCCTAAATCAGCCTGCAGTAAACCCACCCCCAACAAACTCTAAACAAAGCACCGCCAGCAATGCCCGAAAAGCTTGTTTTTGATACCTAATGAGTGTTTGTTTGATGACGACGTGGCTGTGGCTTAAACAATGTAATTACCCAAGTGTGCATGGCAAATGGAATCAAAGACTAAAACCCGCGTAACCCTAGCTCTTGAACTTTGAGCCACACCCACGTGGCTTTTGTGCAGAGGTTTGTTCAACTTGATTTGCTTGAGGCCGGAGTGGCGCCGTGTTCGGGTTTGTCGACCAAAGCACAACGGGCCCAGAGTCGCTTTCTGGCCGCGTCGAGGTCCTCACGTGAGAATTGACTGGTACGCAAACGGAATCTGTGACACAATCCGATTAGTTGCATGCTCCATCTGTAGCAAAAGGGTAATTAGGAGTAAGGTCCCCAGCCAGTCTTCCCAAGAGTTTCATTCCTTTTGTAACACCCCCCCCAATGGCATCATGTTCTTGCTCACCTTCCCCACTGTGAACAAGCACATTCTGGCGCTTTGTTTAAAACGAACTGGCCATGGGTCAAAATCCCATACCCCCAGTGAACATCCCAATCCCCACTAAAATAGGCTAAAATGGGTGGTGAATTCACCTACCCAAAATGGTACCATTGGTTTTGACCCACAGCCAACAGGGTGCTGCCTCCTGCATGCTGGCCTTGGGCAAGGAGCTGCCGTCTTTCGCCTTGGCCGTTTTTGCCGACGTGGCCCGAGCCCGTGGCACCTCAAAACATATTTGCCGTCCCTTGATGTCAAGGGCATTTGGACCCGGTTTGAGTCAGAGATGATCCATTGCACTGAATCGATGTCCGTAAACAAATTTAACGGTGATGCAACGAGCTCGTTGCTACATATCTCCCAATGGGATTGGATGCAGTGATCTTAGAACAAACGAGTATGGACGACTGGCCAGTCGGAGCACGAGTGCGCTATGTTCCTAGCTTCTGCCGCTAGCAAGCTTGTAAGGGTGCAGTGAGCCAGTCAATGCAAGAATGGTAAACCAAGCTCTCAATTCATGAGTGGTTTTGTTGGCTTTGCTCACACACCTTATCTCTGAACAGGATCCTTGAGGTCCCGGAGATTTGTTTCCGCCAATGTTTTGGGTATCACCGGGTCTACATAGCTTCGGTCATTGGGCCCGCCTTTTCATTCTCTTTCCGCGGACATGGGTCGCCTTTTCGGGGGATAAGGCAAGTGGAAACCTCAAACGTGCGGCCGTACCAAGGGATCAGGGCAAGAACAACCATTGGCAAGGCGCTGCTTATCAGGTATGGTTAGTACCAAGTTATCAAGTTATCAAGTTCCAGGAAAATGGTACAACACGCAATAACAGGGCATTATCAAAAAACCTTTGGGAATGGACAAACTTAAACGCAAATAAAAGCAAGCCATGTGAGAGCTTCCCGAGTTTTATGCTTAACATTCCGCGACACTAGATTTAGATTCAACATGTCCTCCAGCGGCTAAGGGGAATACGGAAAGGAAGCAGACCAGGGCTGTGGGAAATGACCACTTCCGTGATACAACAGAAAGGGCTTCCCAAAGACTAAACCCCTGTATAAATGGGGAGATTCCCTCGTATCGAATTTGTGGGCATAAACCCCAGAGCGATCCCACAACCCTGTAGACCATCCAGCGCCGCGGGCAAAACACCTACTGCACCCCAAAAGAAAGCGGAAGCACCGACCCACTCCACGCCTTGGCCGGCGCATCACCCTAGGGGCGCGCGGCCATCAACGTGCCAACAACAACTTGAGAGAAGCGGCCCTGTGCGTATGGGAATCCAAGCGGGCTCATGGGTCTGAGTCAAAACTGGGGGACCCCAAAAAGTTGTAGTTGTCCGGCTGGTGTCACTTTAAACCAAGGTGAAAAGGGCGATCGCCCTCAACAGAAGCCCACGCTGCATTGCTTTTTGGTAGTTTCACAAGGAAGTCAGGTGCGAGGAACAGGACATGTAGCAAAGTCAGCCTTCGCAGCGCAAGGATGCCCGTTCAAGAGCTCAATCTGAAGACCAACAAATGGGAGTTGCAGGAAAAAGCCGGGGCTGTCCCACGTGGCATAAAACCAAGATGTCCATGATTTGACTCACTGAAGTCTTGATCTACTTTGATACCACTGGCTGTAAAAGAAGGATAAGGCACCTAAGTTTACCCGTGATTCAACATCACAATCGGAACAGCAAGAGAAAACACCACGTATCAATGCAACAAAGGCCGAGCCGCGACAGACCACTCACTTCTCCAGCCATCCCATCTGTCAAGCCCTCTGGCAGGGCCCTGGCAATGGCCTTCGCCTCCTTGTCCTTCAGCCACTGCTTCAGGATCTCGATATCCTTCTGCTTGTCCTCAGAAGAAAGTAACGCCTGACGGGCCCTGGGTGTTGAATATTGAATAGGGGGCCTGGAAAAGTTGGAAATGTTCGAGCGCAATGGAAGTGGTCAGAGTTGGAGAGCTTTCCTGCAAAAGGGACAGCCCGCAAACAGCCCAAACGCGTCCACATTCAAGCAAATGACAAGAACGAGGGCGTTGCGGCTGCTTTGTTTGAATAATTGTTCAATACAGTATGATGATCCACACGCGTTCAACAAATGTATCAAACAAACAGCAACAAACCAGACAGATTCGTCAACCACATCCCGTGTCAACATACTTGAGCGACCGCCTGCTTCTCACGTGCAAATGCCCTGCGTCCTTCACTACATCTCTGCGTCTTTTTTTAAATGCCGTGCCTTTCCCGTTCCTTCCCCAGCTTTGCTGTTCCGACGCGAGATGGACACCTCCATCTGTGGAATTGAACATGCAGCAATAATGCACTGTGAAATGGTCCCTGACACCTGACGGCATTGCCGGCTTAGGTAAAAGCGAGGGCTCCATGCGGGTAAAAGCTGTCTTTCGTGGACGGCGAAAAAAAAGAGAGGCATTCCTCGTGTTGCGAGCAAAACTCGCGGAGGACAATGACAAATCACAGATGTGAAAAGTCAGTTGAAAGGGTTCTGACTTGTACATACCTACCCAATCACATACACTCACACGCAAAGCCAGGCAGTTGAAAACAATCCACCCAGTGCCCATCCTTCTTGCGGTCCGGGTCGACTTCCTGCCAAGAGTGCCACATGCCGACACTGGGCAGGGCGCGGCCTATGACGTGGGGAAAGAACCAGGCAGCTCAGAAATACATTGAAGTGACTGATCAATGCCTAGCCTGGTATCAGTTCTCACAGCACTACTAACTGGTACAGGTACGGAGGTGATTTGGTGATTCCTAGTTAAGCTGGTGAGCTCAAACTACACAAGGTTGCTACTAGAAAACACATACAACACCTCGAGCCTCAAACTCATTGTAGAATGGTCTGTCCAAGCCTGTGATAGAACCGATCGTGACATTGCGTGACGTGATTTCCTGCATGACTGATTCACGGATGGATAATTTGATGGATGCTCAGACTAAGCTCAACCTCGAGGACACAGAGTCTAATTCAAACGCCCACGGCAAGCCAGGCCACCACTAGACTGACTGACACAAATGACTAGATGGTGTGTTTCTGGAATGATCTTTCAGGATTTCAGCCAGCCGGGCCAGGCCAAACGCAAATCACATCACTTCAAGTGCGGAGAAGAGTAAACCCCCTCGTAGATCAGCGTGCATAGAATTTAGAAGGCCAATTCCAATACAGCCAAATTAACAACTGCCAACCCTTTCATTTGTGAATCATCATGTTCTGAAGCACCTGCTACATGCCGCCACATCCGCTCCTCAGCCAACTCGCGCTCGCGCTCCGCCTGCGGCAAAAAGAAACGGGCAGGACATAATTTGGGGACCCTGTGAATATGGTGGACATCAACCATTCAGGATGGTGCTCCCCATTCAAATTCGTGGCCACAAGCTGCAGGATGAAAGAATCGCAGTATTTGTCCCGGGCAATCCAGGGATTGCCCAGGCAGGCCATCCTTGTCAAAAAGAGATGACATGCCCAAGCCATCTCTTGTGGGATTCCTGGTATCACTGCAACATGTCCTTGACATGGGTGTGTCTTCACCATTTAAACATTTGTTGGGTCCCTCCGCTCCAATCTTGAGACACCTTCCTATGTGTCCAAGCCGAGCTGACCTGCAACCCTACTGTGCCACTGCTTGTCTCAGTACCCAGGAAGCTGATCTCAGGGGGGCAACGACCAAATCACAAGACCCAAGAACGAGAAAACAAAACACAAGAAGCACCCCACATCCCGCATCACAGGGATGGTTCTGGGAACCTTTGTAGGCTTCTTAGAGCCTTTCTGGGTTAGGGGTCTCCCAGTGCCGTTGCGACCAAGTCCAAGACGCTTGCGACTGACCATGTTTTTTTTGTTGTTTTCTCCGGCTCCACGAATGAAGATTGTCAGGAAGCTTCAAGAGATGCGACACTGTTGGTTGGTTTCCGTTCAAAGGGGGACCAGCTACTGGATGTTGCTAGACGTTTGCCCTCGTTTTACGACTCGCTCACCCCAGCATTGACAAACTTCCCGGGGCCGCTGCGAGCATTTCCCGCAAGTTCTCGGCCGCGTTCGCCTGTTTGCCACTTCACTTTGTCAGCGGTGCCTGGTTGCCACCGCATTCTTGATTGCTCAACAATAGATGTACAAGTCAAAGTCCACAGGGATTCGATGACGCCGGTCGAGCGCGTAGACAGAACAAGCTAGACGCTCTCTTGAGTTCAATGTGCGTCTTCCTCCGGAATCCTGAGGCTTGCGGGTTGTGCGGGTTGTGTTCAAAATCTGGGTCGCCAAAACCGGAATTGTTCAGAGCTGCTGTGCTTTGTTTGAGAGAATAATTTACAAGACTAGGTACTCATAGCCATGAACTGAGTGTGATCCATATCAGTACAATTCAATCCAAACAGTGGCAATGTGCCGCCAAACATCTCAACACTTTGTCTATGCTAGTCACTGCTAGTCTTGGAAAAAGAGGGTCCCCTTCAGAGGGGTGCGATGGTAAGTTGAATCAAAGCAGAAGACTTCTCCCAACATGTCTGGCTTCAATTCTTTTTCTTAAACCAACGCGATGCTGTTGTGCAATCAATTTGCTTCAAGAACTTGAATGGCTTGACACATGCGCTTTGACTTGAGTCAATCTAACAGAAACTCCCCTTTGCACTCTTTTGCTACATGTAAATGTCATCAAGCTATCTAATGCGCTTCACATGCCATGGGACCAGGCTCCGGCAACTACATTCAACCAGTTCAATAATGCAAATGTTATGAGGTGTGTCAGTTCTGATGTTGTTCTTGCCGAGTTAATTCATTGTCCTGACGCAGCACATGCACTGTAATCTATGCTCGCCTTCAAACCCACTGAGCTCTGCCTGTACCACAGAGATGTGTTGGACAACGATGCTGGACGGACATACTTTAGCACCCCACATCAATGTAGCACGCCCGCAGTAGCCAATGCAGGCTCTACGAACTGTGCTGCCCAAACAGTGTTAACAATGTGGTCTGATTTTTGATCCCGAGACACCGGCAGCACCAGCCATGTCTTCAGCTTCGGTCACAACAGCACTTGATGGATGCGTGCAACCTCGCGTTAGGGGCATGTCTCACACAGCAATGTGGTCAGCCAAATCGCCAACAGCGGGAGCACCAGGGTGGCCCAACCAAAACAGCCTAGATAGCCGAAAGGGGACTGCTAACTTTTGCTGCCTGTGGCAGTTATGCCAAAATGCTCCTGCACCATGTCTTTCAGGTGCTCGCCAAACAATGCCAGTCCAAAATGGTCTTCTAAAGCCGCAGGCCTCGGCCCCATCTCTTGCCAACCCCATTGCCCAAAAGGTGCCTGCGGTGATGCATCGGTGCTCCTGGCAGCTTCTCCCAAGTCATTTGGAGGTTGCTGCGACCAACCACTCAAATACTTTGATCAAAAAGTCTAATCAACTGCATGGCGACCAACTGCTCAGATCCATGGTTTTCACAAGTTTTCATAATATTTCCATAGTCGAAAGGGCCTAGAATGTACTGGCCATCTCGTTTCCGCGTTCCGGCTGTGCCGGGTGCCGAAAACGAAGTGTTCCCTAGCTCCCTGTGCAGGGAAGATAAGGGGAATGACAAACTTACATCATGCTCTACACATTCTACACGACGCCGTGCTTGGCAAAAAGCCCATGAAAGCATGCTACTCAATTAATACAAATAGTGAGTGTTCGTTTGTGTCCATGCTAGCTTTATCAAAGTTTGGCTTTACATATCCCATCCTTGCCAACACTTTCTGATGTCTGGCGCAAACCACTTACTTGCTTCTTGCTCAGCATCGAAGTGCTCGTGGAGCGCGTCCCTGTGCTCTTGCACACCACAAGGCTTGCAGCCTGACAGGCTGTCCGGGCAAAGCCATCCAAGTACCGTGTCCGCAGATCTGTCGCGTGGCATGGAAATCAGCCAGCGACTCTCGGGATTGCTCAGCCGCGAAGCAGGGGTCGTTCTCAGCAGCCTTGGATCCTCAGGTCTCCACGCTGTCTAGGTCCTCCAGTAGAGAGGTTAGAATAAGGGTACCCACTTTTTCTCTAGTTTATTTTAGTAGGGGAACCCTCCCCAAAAAAGTGAAAATGTCACTCCTCAAAAACCTAGCTTTGCAGAAATGTCGACCGGGCTGGGAATGAGAGAATGACCCCTATGAACAACCCCCTATGGTTGCCTTTAAAGGGAATCCCTAACACACTGGGTCATTCCCTAATGAGTGGACAAATCAAGCATGACATAGGGTAGTTCAAGACCAAGGATGTGATTCAATAGACAAGATTCACGAGATACGTGTTTTTGTCAGCCCAACTAGGACAAGGAGCTGTAAACAAGTCCAGGCCGGCGGACAGAGCTCCCTATCTTCCCCTTTTTGGTGATCCAGTTGAAGATGAGCTTCCCTAAAGTGGGCTAGCAGGAAGTCTAGGTAGGATTGAGTTGAACAAACGTTTTTACCTTGTCAAGTCCACATCCCCGCTCACCGACGGCGTCTTGGATTGTGTGGACAACTCTCTGGAGCCCAAATATAGGAGCCGAAGTTTGCCGCTAAAGATTCCTTCAGTGGAGAACACCGACTCCCGGCATCACTCCCACCGCAAATGCAGCTTCAGCTCACCTAGGCGCTTTCGCCTTGGGCTCCTTTGCCTGCGCGAGTCACACCACGTCTCCAAGTGGCAGCCGCCAGCTGGATCCAAGTTGTGTCACATATCTCAACGCTGACAAGAAGGTGATCCTTTGGACAACTGCGCTGTTGCTTGTGGAATCGCTGCTGTTAAAACACCGGGCAGTGAAGCTTGCGCGGTCCATGCGCTTATTCATACACGTTGGCCTTACATCCTCCATACTGTAGAAACTAAAACACGGCAGAACTTTCTGCCGAAAGGTCCCGGCGGCAGAAATTTCCGCCGAAAAGCCCAAAAAACGCCGCCCGAACACTCCGACATGCTGAAACCTGCTTCCGCGAAATTCCGCCGATTTCCGCCGATTTCCTGCTGCCTGTTTTGCACAGAACTTGATTTTGAAAAAACGCTGCCAGGGAAACTAAAAACGCCGCCAACAGCAAAACGGCGCCTTTTTCCAAAAAGGCAGACACTTCTGCCGATTTGGGTGGTCCAGGTATGCCTGGCAAGCCACGCATTGCTCAACCGGGCAGCACTGGCCAAAAAGGCACGCTACAAACAAATGTGAGACCACAAGTCACGAATGTCGACCTGATTTCAATACTGTAAGCAGTTTTCGTGGTTTTCTTGCCCGAACAAGCAACACGCCGAAGCAACCGCGCCAAACGTGCAAGATGTTTTGTTCTGTGCAGCATGCGGCGCAAGGGACACATGCAGTAGTCGGGTCGTAACTGCAGATCACGCAACATGCGTTTTGAGTGTCAGAATGAGCAGAGCTGCAGAACAAATAGCTATCAATGGGCGACGATGGACTCTTAGCTTGAGTCTTTCAGTTCACGTCAATCACAGCAAGCCACGTGTGTCTCCCAGGGTCTCTAATGAAATGAAGAAGGATTGATCAGAATTTGCTCGGTACGGTTTCTTGACCTTCAGGTGGGGCACCAACTGGAAGCAACAACAGAGAGGCTACTAAATCACTGAGCGTTGCTTGAATCTATGTTGGCATGCCACTACAGGCTCACACGCGTGTTGGGCTCTCGACTTCAGATATCTTGTGTTTTGTTACCTGCCGTTTTTATGCTTGCGTCCTTTTGTTATCCTCAGTATAACCCTCACGGCTTCTGATGAAAACAGCCTGCAGGAGGCAGCCGCGGAGTTTGTCAAGACGCTCGGCACAAAGCACATGGCAATTGATCCATATCCCTGTTTCCGAAAAACGCCATCTTCGCATGAACAGATCCCATTTCGCGAACCTTCCGCGACTCCGCCGCCACGCCCTTTTGTTTGCAGCGTGCGCTCTGGAGCTGGTTTGGCCACCGCGGTTACCCTTTCAAACACAGTAGCCACACCGAGCAGTTCACTTGCGCTGGCAGCAGCGTTCAATGAAAGCAGTCGCTATCATTCACCCTTGCCACTTGCGCTTGCCGGGACTTCTCCGTGCTCAGTTCAACGCGGGGAACCTTGCAGCAAGCTCCATGGGCTTTCGCCGGTCTTCCGTGGATTCTTCGCGAAACTTGCTCCAAAAAATAGCCCGGCCAACGTTTGGCTGGTGCTGCAAATCTCCCTGTCTACAAGAGAGTGGGGTCTGCAAATTTGTAAGTGCACAGGCGGATCTTTGGCGGAAAAAAACAACAACAACAACAACACAAACTCTTTCGCGAACTCCATCGCCGATCTTTCCCAAGAGGGATGTACACCAACACCCACGGGCACCAAATACATAGCTTCTTCCAGGTATCTCTTCATCAACGCCCACATCAAAAATACAAAAGCCATAGGTTTCTGAAAAACTAGGGATGGGAAGGTTGTCTCAGTGGGCTGCCTCACTTATGCCATAAAGTCAAGCCCTCAACCAACCCTCCCTCGGTCGCCTTGAGAGCCTCTTGCGCTTTTCGCTTCACTTGGCCCTGGCGGGAAACACGTGCTCTAAACCCCAAGAGCGACGATCTCTTCTGATCTTGCTGCCAGGGCGGAGTGCCAATGAATCAAGCATGGACTCAAGTTCAGATTCCCCAGCCTTCAGAGCTGTCTTGGTTCCACCCCTTTTGTGCGCGTCATTGTCTCAGGCATCTTGCTTTATCGACTGCCAAGGACAATTGTGAAACTCCCACAACTCCAGTGACTTTTGTGCGATAAAGGTGCAGTCCTCTGTTTTTTTGTTTTTGTGAGTTTGGATGGCACCGTAAACACGCTAAGCCCCAACGCCTCTATTCCCCTGAGCATCAATAAGATCTGAAAGGACTTCTACAAGCACAACTTTCGGACAAAATCGGAACACGGCTGTCCACGCGCTGTTGCAGGAAGACAGCCACATCGTTCAAGCCATTTTGTTAGCCAATCGTGGATGTCCATGGCCTTAGCAGGCATTATTGAAGACCGGTACTTCAAAAAATAACAATCACACAAATTCCGAAGCCCCCAAGAAGTTGCATGCATCATTGGTTCAGCTATGAGCTTCCGTCTGGCGAGTGAAGGTTCATTTGCGGGAAAAGTTGCAGAGGGGGCTTCTCAACTTCAACAAACCCTCCAACCATCTGCAAATCGAAAGCCGCACGTGTGCGCCTTGTCAGCAGCTCCTGAACAGCGCTGTACAGTCGGGCTCTCGCTGTTCGAACCGCCCTCCTTTTCTCAGCTTAGAGGGGCAAGCCCATCCGACCGTCAGAAAACCAGCCACATCCCTTGCTGCATCGGAACAACCTACTGATCAGCCACGCTTGCGAGCACCGCTTGACCAACTTAAGAAGCACCTTGCACCCGGTCCTGCGCCCTTCGCAGCTTTCGCCGCCTGCCTGGGGCACGGGAGTTCGATGGACTGAGTGTTCGCCATGTGCGAAAGAGAAGGCGGCTCAGCATCGAAAGCATGGCCATTTTAGACCATGACCAAAGCATGGACTTAAACTGTAAACCAAAAGGTCCAGCAGTCGATAGAACAAGTTGACATGGCTGTATGCGGAGCAATGTATTCAATACTATGTATATCCTTAGTTCAACCCACCTCCTTCAATCAAAGCACACAACTGCCGATGAGCGAGCACATGACCCGTTCGACTGTATGCACATCAGAGCCGTGTCAATCGGCGATTGAGTGGCTTACTTCTTGGCATCCTCCTCTGAATAGCTCGTGTACGAGTAGTCTGACGCAGATCTTGATCTTGACCTGCCAGGCTAGTGCCGTCATTCGCTTTGTCTGCGCTCAAGGTGCATTCTGGAAAAAGGGAGCGCTCCGCCAACAGAAAGTACAAAGCCCATATTGTACATCAAGCGCCCGAGAAAGAGTCACACAGTCAGCATCAACCCCTCCTGTCTCGGCCCATGGCGGGGCAAAATCGCAAATGTTGCGTTGCACTGCGTAGTTACCAATGGCTTCTGTGCAGCATATTGGCTGAATGTCTTGCAAAACATTGGCATGCCGACGTGGCAAACATGATCGTGGTAAGTCCTGACACCTCTGTGCACTGACTGGTTCAAGTCAATGGGAAACGCATACCAAATTCAAATGTAGCAACCATCTAAGAGTCTCGCTGTATAACTCAGCAGTGGCCAAACACACATTTCTCTCGCATGTCTTGCAACACTTGAGCCGCCGTCTGCAAATGCGTCTTGCGCTCCAACGCCTCCAGCTGGGATCTGTCAATCCCGGTGCAAGGCAAATGGTCGCATGTTCTGAGATTGCTCAGCAAGGCTTCCTGGCCAGGTGCCATACTCACAGCTCTACTCAACGAGAGCAATCATGAAGTGTTGCATCGGGATCAGTGCTGGGGTATCAACATCGCGCTTCGTGATCATGTCGCGAGCAACTTTCGGACCACATACTGTCCTGGCGGCAAACATCCATTGAATCAACCAGCTGAAGGTGTTGCACTATTGACATGCACCTTGGGGCCTGTCGCAGGTCTTGCGGCAACCTGAAATTTCCGGGCCCCTCAAGCCGCTTGCGTTTTTGCGCGGCATCTGGTTGCACCAAAGGTAGCCAAGGGAACCCCATGTTTCGATGGCAGGGCCCGACCTCCCGACGTCCCGATTTGGATCACCCAATGTAAACACGGCAGCCCCATGTCAACAAGTGCGGCCCAGAAGCCAAGACCTCCCAAGGACCTACTGTCACCTCATGTCTTCAATCAAGCTCGTCGGGAGGTGAGCAAACACAGACCTATCCTTACGTCCAATGCAAGCCTCAGTCAGGCAAGGATTCGACAGGTGGCATTTCTGCATCAGTTCTAATTTAGATGCAGCAATTGGCAGCAGCTTGCCTCCGGCATAACAAACACATTCTGCAAGTGATGTGTCAAGCACAAAATTCATGTCCAACCATTTGGACTCATTTTATTTGTTCACTGTTCTCGTTTTGGGACACGGTGTGAACAAAGACCAAGTGCGGCTCAATTCTGTCAGCTCCGGGAAAGTGTCCGCCTGCTCTTTTGCGGACGCTGCAATAAAGCATCCGCTCAGAGCTTGGATGCAGCATACTACCTGGCATAAAGCGCTCTCCGCTGGACGCGAAATGCGCGCCCCGAAAGGAACAAGGTACTATGCAATGGCTTGGATAGCCTGGATAGCCGAAACTGATCGTGGCATACAAACCTGATCTCAAAATGACTGCACCGCTCTGCCGGCCAAGCGATGCAAAGTGTGTTCCGGAAAACCATGGCCAGTCCTCTTTAAATTTCCTTGCAAACCGATCCACGAGGCACTTAGTTTCAGCAAACTCTGGCATGCGAGTAGAACCAAGGAAAAACATACGTGAACCCCAATCAATGCGACTTCACTCAAAGACATACCCTGAGCACTGCTGCCTTCTTCTCCCTTTTTTGCCAAGGAATCCACCCATCAGGGTCCCATCAAAGCAAAGTGTTCCCATCACACCTGGTGAAAGTCATAATATACTTTACATTGTCACCGGAGGCACAATCCAAACGCCAGTCCCTTTCTATGGACCATATGCATTGCTGGCAATTCTAGGGATCAGCCCCTCACCAAGGCATAGCCTTCTAGGCATTGCAGCAGAATCAAGCTTTCCCCAGCTGACGAAAGCATACGACAGCGGCAAACCTGAGACAAGGCGCATCCCAAGCGGAGAAGGTACCCGGACCTGAGAAGGGCATTCTGATTATCTACCAAAAACGTGCGCACCTCTGCAACCCTAATTACTTGCTCAAATCTACGCAGCATCGTTTTGCTATATATATATATATGATATACATGAGGCGGCCCTTGCATTGATCAAGTGCCTGTAGTTACTGCGGCGGCGGCCCCGCATAGAAAACACACCACAACACAACATGACAACTGGATGATGCATCGGAAGTTAGTTGTGCACTTGTGCGCTGATGAATGTTGTGATTGTGGAAGGCGCTTGTGGGGATGCTGCTCACGTTTCGGCAATTACTCGGGTGATCTGGGGTGTATATAACAACTATGTGCTTGCCCCACGCCTTCCTGATCATGCCGGGCTAATGACTCAGCGCATCGGCCATTGCATAGATGATTTCACGCGTGGTGGACGCCCGCTTCAAGACTCGCTCTCGAGCATTTTTGCAAGTGCGTTGTGGTCGCAAAACTGGGTCACAAAGAAGATATGATAATGCACCAACACTTTCAAGGTGAAATTATCTTCCTGACACAACGTCGGTTTCTGAAACTTTTAGGGAAAACTGCACTTATAGATCTTGTTGCTTGCCCATGGCAACCAAAAACTACTCATCCCCACGAAACATGTTCTCGTTCCATAGCCGTCTTTGCTGAATGCTTGGAATGTGCCAACGTATTGCCCTCATCGCCATCGTCATGATGCAAAGCCCTGCGCAGCTTACTTCCCAGTCCCAGCGACTTTTTAATCCAGCTTGAATGAAGCGATCTTCGTCTCACGAAGAAACCAGCAGAGTAAATCTGCGGGATGCGCTGGTCCGTCCCTTGCCACAGAAGGCAGCTTCCCAAAACAAACATAAGCAAGGAAAAAGGCTCATGCATGCCTTCAATGCAGACTGTAAACACATCGTAGCACATCATCTTCAAACCAGGCAGGTAAGGAACCATTAGCATCGCGGGCAACACTGAGCTGCGCGGCGCAGATTGTCAACAGAGGGGTTCAGAACGGCCAGGCCAAATGCTCGCAAAGAGAACAATCCATGCATGACATGCCATTTGGGAACAGAGCAGCTGCATGAAATGATGACATGTTTAAAGCTAGAGTTGCACTCTGCAGAAGGCCACGAAGACACGGCCAAGCCCCATTCCGTTCCATTTTGTAATTTCCCTGGGGCATCTCAGGATGGCAAAAAGCCCTGGCATCAATTTGTGTAGAAGAAAGGGCTGCAGCACCTAGAGCTTCCCAATTTTCCGCATGGGGGTCCAAACCCCGTTCTGTTCAATAGGTATTAAACGGCAGCAATGTTTGCAACAGCAACAAGACACTAGCGCTAGTAGTAGTAGTAGTAGTAGTAGTAGTAGTAGTAGAAGTAGTAGTAGTAGTAGTAGTAGTAGAGGTGGTAGAAGTAGTAGTAGTAGTAGAGGTGGTAGAAGTAGTAGTAGTAGTAGTAGTAGTAGTAGAGGTGGTAGAAGTAGTAGTAGTAGTAGTAGTAGTAGAAGTAGTAGTAGTAGTAGTAGTAGTAGAGGTGGTAGAAGTAGTAGTAGTAGTAGTAGAAGTAGTAGTAGTAGTAGTAGTAGAGGTGGTAGAAGTAGTAGTAGTAGTAGTAGTAGTAGTAGAGGTGGTAGAAGTAGTAGTAGTAGTAGAGGTGGTAGAAGTAGTAGTAGTAGTAGTAGTAGTAGTAGTAGTAGTAGTAGAAGTAGTAGTAGTAGTAGTAGTAGTAGTAGAGGTGGTAGAAGTAGTAGTAGTAGTAGTAGTAGTAGAAGAAGTAGTAGTAGTAGTAGTAGTAGAGGTTGTAGAAGTAGTAGTAGTAGTAGTAGTAGTAGTAGTAGTAGTAGAGGTGGTAGAAGTAGTAGTAGTAGTAGTAGTAGTAGTAGAGGTGGCAGAAGTAGTAGTAGTAGTAGTAGAAGTAGTAGTAGTAGTAGTAGGAGTAGTAGTAGTAGTGGTAGTAGAGGTGGTAGAAGTAGTAGTAGTAGTAGTAGTAGAGGTGGTAGAAGTAGTAGTAGTAGTAGTAGTAGTAGTAGTAGTAGTAGAAGCAGTAATAGTGGCAGTAGTCGTCGTAGTGGCAGCAGTAGCAGTAGCGGTAGCATGCGGTAGCACTAGGTTTCCACGATGGCAATTGTGAGGTCTTGAGCCGGCAGCGCTGTCAGCGGGGTACAAATTCTGCGTGCGCGCACGTATCTACATCTCTCGGGGTACAAATTCTACTGGCTGCTCGGGAGTGAGGCTCTGTGCCACGGCGGTCTGGGTGACTGTCTGTTTGCAGAGTGTGTGTGCGTGTGTGCGTGTGTCTCTGTTGACTACTTTACTTACAATACGATCACGCGGCTTTAGACACTCTGTCTGTTGACTACTCAAACTGATCTCCAAAAACATATGGATAATCAAAGGGTGTTGAACGACAGGCATCGAACGTCAAGCCCACAACCTTTTCAAACGGGGTATTGAACGAAAGGTGTACCCCCAGCCCAATCAACCAGGATTTGACTCACAGCCACACGGGCCACGTGCAACGCAAGCCGCGGGCTTGAGAAAACCGAGGAGCGCGTGCTTGGAAATACTCCTGGGTGTTTCTCAAACAAATTGCTTCATATTGCTTCTTTTCGGATTCCCTGTAAGCACAATCTGGTATTTTTGTGCGCTGAAGGCGAACAAAGGACTCACTGCTGACAAACTGCTGCATCGCGCTTTGAAATGCTGGCCCGAAGTGAACCGACCAGCTCCCACGGACAAACCCAAAGTGCAGCTGAAGCGAGGCACCTGCCATGCACTCAAAATCCGGACTCATCTGCATCGAACAAATGCGCAAAAAGACCCACCGGCCAGTCCCTTCAGCTGCACGGCTAGTGTTTGAGCCGTATTGGCAACAGCCCCTTGGAAAAACCTATAGGACAACTATGCTCTACTCTAAGATCTTAAGCATTCCAAGCTTTAAACAATTTTCGGCTCTCCACCCTGGGATTGACACCCAAGCCGACTCTCAAGGCAATTTGGATGTGATTCACAACCTCTCTTGCCAGTGCTGTTTGTGTTCATGCCATGAATCGGCAAGTTGATGTTGCGGACATCTTTCAAGTCATGGACAACTCAAAATCCAGAAACAAATTCTTACGCTGCGAACACGTGGCTGCTTTCTCGCTGTAGCAACACAGATGTCGCTTGGCCGTGGCACAATTAAAGGGTGGAAGGGACACCTGTCTCAAAAGAAAGAAAACAAATGGAGGAACCCACTGGCATCTGGGACTCTTCAATAGTTTTCAGATCAAGTGTCTCTTTTGTTTCTGAGGAACCCGCAGTTGTGTGTTTTTAGACGGCTTTCTTTGTTTCGTCAATCCCCGATCTTCCCTTGCTTCTGCAGGATAGCGATCTCAATATCCTTGGCTGCCACCTGGTCGCGGAGCTGCTTCACCTCAGCCTGCAGATCTTTGAACCTCAGTCGCTTGAAAGGCCTGATATACGAAATCCGAGAACGCACGAAGGGAAACCGTGGTTGAAACCCATGGCTTTGTTTGGGATTTACAAGGGAATCGAATCAGAAACCAGGGTTTCTTAGGTGGTGCACGATTTCGTCCAACCACAGTGTGAAAGGGTATGGCCTTGTTTGCTTCATTCCTTGAGTTGGTTGGCTGCTTGCTTGGATGCTTGGTTGCTTGATTGCTACTCCCAAAAACATCCGGGATAGCCCGCAGGCGCCCTGCAAAGATAAGGATGGACAAAGTCCAGCAGTCGGAATGGATGAAGACCTATGAACAACGGGATATATAAACCACCTGCAGGCAACCCTCCTTGAGGCTGCCTGTTTAAGAAGATACAATCACATGTGGGGGCCTTGTTTGGCGGGGAGGAGGGGCAGAAGTTGAGGGCTGCTCAATACAGAAATCAGAATACATCACGCAGGGGTAGCATTGGTGTAGAAACCAAACAAATGTTGCATGGTTCATGAGTATTCAGATTCAGTCCAAGAGTGGCCCCTGAAAGAACCCATTATTTGAACCACATCTGCTACAAGCAACGACACATATTTTGAAAAGAAACGCCTTGATAACATCCATGCGGAAACATGGACGGTCGGACAACGCGATCGATCCGATGGCCATGGCACTTTTGCGCGAACTTGATGAGCTGGTCTGGCATCTGGTCCAGATCAGTCATGAAGATGGTTTGCTTCGAACTTGATGAGGACGGGATCGTCTCCAAATCCTCATGCCAGACTTTTTCTTGAAGGCTGCAAACCGGACTCTGGAACAAGGACGGCACATGGATCCGTGCAACACACATGTCAAAACTACTTGTTCCTCCATAAAGCAAGTCCCCCGTGGTTGTTGTGAATAATGTGAGTTTCCCCGTGTGTTTCTGGAAAGTTTGACCGAGCAGCACATGAATACTTCTTGGGGATACATGGAGTCATGAATGAGTTTGCGGGATGGCGGCCATAAGCAAAAAGCCAACCGACCAACCAACCAACCAATCAAACGAACTAACCAACTAACCAACTAACCAACTAACCAACCAACCAACCAACCAAGCAACCAAGCAACCAAGCAACCAAGCAACCAAGCAACCAAGCAACCAAGCAACCAAGCAACCAAGCAACCAAGCAACCAAGCAACCCACCAACCCACCAACCCACCAACCCACCAACCCACAAACCAACAAACTAACAGACCAACAAACCAACAAACCAACAAGCCAACCAACCAACCAACTGACTAATGAACCAACCAAACGACCAACCAACCAAGGAACAAGCGCACCAACGAACCAACCAACCCAGCAACCAACCCGCCAACCGACCGACCTACCGACCAACTGACCGACTGACTGACCGACCGACCGACCAGCCGACCAACACGACCAGTCCTCAATGACCATATGGAAGACTTTCGGGCTCTTGGTCTTCACATCAGTCAGCCACTGCCTGTGCGAGAATGCGAAGCCGGAAGATGTGACTCTCCGAATGGTCTTGCTGGTTCTCGGATGAGGGAGTGTCCCCTACAAACCACCCGCCATTCTGGTTCCCTTCCAGGGTATCCATTGGTGCATTCCCAAAACGCCAAAGCTTTGCTTGGTGCCCTTTATCTGAGAACCAGCAATGGCAAGTGGTTGGTGTGCATTGCGTTCTTGATGTTTCCTTTCAATAAACAAGTAGCGGCTCACCCATGCCAAGACATACGTACGCGCGCAAAACAACATTCGACCGCAGGTAAAGGACCAACATCACTTGAATCGGATCTAGACCATAGCGCCTTACTTGTCTTTGTGCACCCCTGCTTATTTCGCCATGGACAACAAGAACTCAGAGTGCTAATTGATGCCCAGACGCAAGAACTCCTCGCACGACGTCTTGCCATCGTTGTCCGAGTCCAAGACTTCCGCAAGGTTGTGGCCTGCAACCTGAGGCAATTAGTCTAGGGGTGGATCCCCAATTCTTTTCAACCATCGTTCTTTCCAAAAACCGGCCGTTTCCCTGGGTTTCCGGAGGTTTTCTAGAAATAATGATCCCTGGAAAGAATGCGGAAGGTACCCCTAGAATTAGGTTTGAGTGCAAGATGTGGGGGTTGATCAATATTTCCTCGGCCCCTGAATGATCATGGGTAACTTATACCATTTAATGGGATGTATCATATGTTTAGTGGTTCTTGCCAACGGTCCTCCCATGTAAAGGACCAGTTGATCAACTCCCATGTCGCAAGTACCCGCGAGCACAAGCTAGAGGCGCACTTGCAACCCTGATGACGCGCGGGTGGGACCTCAATTCGGGGCCTTAGAGTTCGACTGTTCTGGCCGCGACCAGCGCAGGCGAGTGTTCAGCGAAAAGCAAGCGGCCACGCTCAAAAGAGCAAATTGTTGCCATGGAGATTGCGTCTGACGCCTTTGCTCCGCAACTCCCATACAGCTGCCTGTTTCGAAGCAGATCTCTCTCATGTTGGCATGTTGATGTAGGTCAGGTTAGCAAAACTGTCCGACATCAACATTCAGTGACTATTCAGTGGAGCATTTCCGGCGGAAACATATCGTTGATTCGTTTTGAGGCGGCATCCACTCGGTCAATAGCTGGCTTCAAATGTGCAAACCTGAGCTCGACATGTAACCTCCAGCTTCTAGGACTAGGAGTGCCTGGCAAGTGATTCTCCAAAACCACTACCTGTTTCGCACAAAAGTGAGCTGTTCAGGGCTAAAAGATTAAACATAAGAGGCACAGTTCGGTGTTGCAAATGGCCCATAAGAACGGGACACCATGTAGCCTTTCTTTCTGGCATTGCAAAAATATATACGAGTTTAGGGGCAACCGCCAGTGGAAGGCTCGAAGCCTTTAACCCCCCCCCCCCGGCCCCAATGTGCGGATGGCTGGCCTTGTTGCTGGCAATGCGGCAGATCTCCGCAGTGTTGAGGAACCCCGTCTCGTCGCTGTCCAGGGAAGAGAAGATCCGGGCAATGCGCGCCGCCTCAGCAAGAGGAGCGAATAGGGAGCTCAGGGCCCGAAGGCAGGGATTGGAGGGAGGGGACAAGGAGGGGGGGGGGGGCCGATCATGCATGATACATGCTTGTCTTCAACTATACTTACGCAATGTCCTACATCTGCATAAAGCTGCTACCGCAGATTTGGGATAGCAGGTTTCCTTGATTCCTTGGACCAGGTGGAAGGAAGACACGAGGGGTGCGGTGTGCGTAGGCCAAAGGGGAACGTCAGAAGACACCTGGACACTCTTGCTGAAATGGGCATAGGTCACTCGTTTAAAGCCTTCTGGGTGCTGCTTGTGATACCTGAATCCTCCAATGCCTGGGTGCCTAAACCCTCTTCCTGAGCAAAGCCTGACTGTGAAAAGGACAGCGCTCCGCTTTTGCTTGAGCGCGGTAGCTGACTAGCGCATTCAGGTGATGGCCAGGATTCGTTTCTTAGGGGTTCCGACCTGTTCGACTCCCTGGGTGGTTTTAAAATCAAAGCGACCTCCCAAAACTGTGGAACGCACTGTTTGCAGTTGTTGTTCTTTTTTGAGTAACCCACAAAAAGCACAAAGCACCTTTCAGGGATCCTCTCTTGAGCCTGCTGTTGCCCCCGTCCTCGGGCGCCGTGAGCGCGCTGCCCAAGCTGAGGCTGTCCTCGCTGTCGCTGTCGCTGCCCACCACCACAGCCTCGTACTCCTGAGCGCGAAGGCCAGGCTCATCGAGCGACCGACTGTCACAGCGGCGACTTTTAAGGGGCCACATACTCCGTTTCACCTCCGTTTCAATGGAAACCAAACAGAAACCTGTGCTTGCTTCTTCGTTTTTCTTGTTGTTTTGGGGGGGCAGCTTTTGTTAGCAAACTCCTACTCGCGAAGTATCGTGGTGCGAAGGGGCAATGGAATGAACAATGATGGGCACAGCCGGGAGGCTTACACGAAGACACAAACGTGGAAAAAGTGGACCCTTGACCCAAGGGACCTTAGGATCATGGGTGAGGTCACAGATCCATCCTTTGGCACACAAATGAAAACCTGAACATGCAGGCGGTTAGATGTGCTCATCACGGTTTTTCCCATGCAAAAACAAATCATCACAACACGCAGTAACTCGGTTGCTTTCTGTTCCCTGCTAAAAGTTTAACTTTTTGTGGCTTGATGGAAAAACCGTTAATTGGCAAACAGTTAAAGTCCTAACATCCCTTGGCAAAATGCACTAAAGGTAAGAAAGCTAGGTCTGAGGATGCTTAGCAACTATCTCCACAGGCTGCCTACCCTGCCCTGGTTTTCTTGACCAAAACGACTGGCTGACGATTAGCTGTACAAAACGCGGCGCAAGTATCGGTCAACGGTATAAGTCAAACAGACATTCTTGTCAACAAACAACCTGGACGAACTGCATGTGTCGCAAGAGAAGCATGAATGTCCTCCCTTTGCCTGCGGCGTCGCCATGTAAATATCCGGACACTTAAATATTCCAGCAAAGAGCTCATGCTACCTCTGCAAGGCTACCGAGGGCCCGCAACCAATTTAAACTTTCGATTTGAATAGGTCTTTAAGTTAACTCTTGAAAAATTGCCTTCGGCCTGGCTCGTGTATTTAGACAAGGGCCCGACCGGGTGGCAAGCGCCGCAAGCACGAATCAACTGCTGGCAAGCGCTTAAGTTTTGTTGCGTCCCGTGTCCGGGGGGGAGTGTGTGACCGATTAAAGCACATATTTCATACTATACCTGGGCCCTCCGGCGGCAGAACTTTCTGCCGAAAAGCCCAAAAAACGCCGCCCGCGAGAAAAACGCCGAAACGCAACAAACACTCCGACATGATGAAACCTGCTTCCGCGAAATTCCGCCGATGTCCCGCCGAATTCCGCCGATTTCCTGCTGCCTGCTTTTGCACAAAACTTGATTGTGAAAAAAACGCTGCCAGGGAAACGTTTTCCAAAAAGGCAGAAACTTCTGCCGATTTGGGTGGTCCAGGTATGCCTTCAGGGCCCGTGAGTGTGGCTCTTCCAGCCACTTTTCAACATATCAACCGCCCAGCCATGAAACCCTGGCCCGGCCCCCATGTATTTAAATGCTGTCACCGTCGGCTATTGAAAGGTGTGACGAGATCCCGTAGAGCCACATGTCGTCTCCACAACAGCGTCCGCAACTTGAGTGGAGGCGCTTTCCTCAACTATGATGCTAGGTATCTAGTATCAACCAGCGCCGGACAGGTACACATTTGAGGAACCAGGCTGCAAAACAAGAAACATCGGTGCAACTCACAAGCGTCACACATGGAACCTGCAGGTCGGAACCGAGCAGAACTTAAATACTTTACGGTCAGCACTAGCATAATAGATCGTTGGGAATGCCTGAAGAAACATGGGTGTCCCCAAGGAAGACAACCATTAGTATGAGCAGGAAAGCAGACAAAGGGGGGACGTCTTCATATCAGAATAAATATGTACATTAAAGGAACCCAAAGAGTTAGAGTAGCCCCTTTCGGGAAAGCCGCCCAACATGCAGGAGCGTAATTTCAGGAGCAAACTCGTGCGAGCACACCTGCACGAGCACACTTTTGCACTTGCGTAAGCGTTATCGATCAAAACTCTGTCGACGAGCCGGAGGCGCATGTTTCGCTGCGCAAGTGCTCTGTGCATGTTTCCTTGCGCAAACTCTCTCTGCGCACACGATCTTGTGAAGTTATTGTGGTGCATGTGCTTCTGTGCAAGTGCTCTGCGTAAGTTTCTGTGCACAAGCTCTCAACTCTCTCTGCAAGTTGCTCTGCGCCAGTGTTCGCGCGTCGTTCTCGATACAAAGGGTCGTCCTCAGCAAGGTAACACCAGGAGTTGCAGTTTTTGCAGATCCCCAAATAAGGTGGGTTTTGCACCGCAAAGGTCTTCCGTGTTTTCGACATCGACCACGCAAATCCAGGCAGTGGGTCGCACTCGCAATTCAAAGTAGCAAAAGTCCGCAGCGTTGGCACGTCGATCACGCCGATCCGATCCCCGCAGAGGGCGTCATTTTCGCAGCGTCGGTTTGGTCGCACCGCGCCGCCTCCTGCGACCTCCAGAGGGTACCTTTTTTTGGCCGTTTGGCGAAAAGGCATGTTTTTTTCTGCCGTTTCACGAAAAAAGCGCCGTTTGCCTGAAAAGCTGCCGTTTCACAAAATTCCCGTCCAACGGTCGGGAAAAGTTGCCGGTTGGACGGGAAAAGTGCAGTTGCCGTTTCGATTTGGCAAGCAACCGCCCAAAGCATCCGATCTTGAAAAAAATCAATCTCCATTTCGCCATTTATGCTGCGATGGAATTTTGTTTTTTACATTCATTTTCAATATTTGAACGGACTACTCGCGATTGAATTTCGTGGCATTGCTTTCCACACTTGCAGTTGATTTTCGATTTCCACGCGCTGGATTTTGTCACAGAACCGCGATTGAATTTGGAATCTAGCTGTTGCACTTTTTTGGCAAGGGAACATGTGGCAGGCTTGGGGTACGTGTGAGGGCTGGAGGGGATGCAGGGGCTGCAGGTTCAGCTTGAACTTGCAGTTTGGTTTTGCGCGCGCCTACCGCCGTTGCCGTTTGAGTTTGAGGCGGGGGGCATGAAGTCTGCTCTTAGATCTGCGCCTCGCGGTGGCCCGCGTAATGTTCGTAAGGACGTTTTGGATCAGGCCGCTTTAACCGAGGCCATCAACAGCCACGCTGCGCAGCATGGCGCCCTGTCAATGCTTGACCTTGGCGCATACCTGCGATTACCAAGTTCTAGAGCAGTCATTGGCTCGGAGCTGGCGCGCCTGCACCCAGTAATAGTACTGGTGCTGGCACAGCTACCTTCTGGCCGGGCGAAGCAAGTTTGCCTTCGATCCGTCTACGTGCGGTTCATAGCGCAGCATCCTGGGTCGTGGAAGTTCTTGGGCACGGCCAAGTCGTTGTCGGATCACGCCGCGGACCTCGCTGGCAGTTGGCTTACGATCCTCAGCCATTGCCGCCGCTTGACAGACCCTGTGCGCTACAGGCAGGCTACGCAGCAGTTGTCTGGCGAAGCCTTGGAGCGCGTGCAGTGGCTTCGGGATCACTTTCTGGCTTTCGCGAAGGATAATCCGGACGACGAGCATCATTCGGAGCCAGATGCCAGCTTGCGCGTCGAGGAAGAAGTGGACCTTGACGCGGTGTCCGAACTCATGCCGTCCCAACCGGACGAGGCATTTTCGGCCCGCAGCCCAACAGCTGGCGCCCGGATCAGGGGCAAGCAGCGTCCCGGACCGAAAGGCTCTGCCAACCCAGGCTCAAAGACCCTCCAGGCTATGAAGAGGCCTGCCGCGGCGCCATCCAAGAAGGCGGCGCAACCGGGCGCGAACCGCCTCAAGCGTCCCAGCGGCGCGCAGAAATTGCTTGTAATCACCCAGGAAGCTGCCCTTGCGGAGAGGCCGAACGGATGTTCCCGTTGCCGGGGCACGCAAGGCTGCACACCCTCGTGTTGGCGCACCCGTAAGCGCCACCTGCAGAAGTAGTGGCCGCGACACAATCTGAACTGCTGAACTCCGCCTGACCCCCTGTTCTTTGATCGTCCTAAGCCCTGGCTTGCACCTGCTGGGCAATGTGTTTAGGGTGGCCGAAAACCCGCTCAGCTCTGCGACGCGTGAGCAAAAAAACAACTGTAGCGCAGGCTTATTTCCCCTTCTTTGCATTATGAACAGACACACCATCGGTTGCACGTTATCACACGATCGCTGCGCCGCACTATCTCCGCTGCTGTTTGGCTCCTTTCGCGTCCACGGTAGGGGTGTCTTTTTTAGTGCCCGGGCCGCTGCTGGGCTGACCTTCTCGGAGGCGGCTTGCCGCACAGGCGGCGCCGGACCTCCTCGGAGGCGGCGCGGACCTGTGTACTGCGCAGGCGGCGCCGGACCTCCTCGGAGCAGCACAGGCGGCGCCGGACCTCCCTGGAGGCGGCTAGCCGGACCTGCGCGCAGCACAGGCGGCGCCGGACCTAGGAGGCGGCGCCGGACCTGTGTACTGCGCAGGCGGCGCCGGACCTCGGAGCAGGCGGCGCCGGACCTCCCTGGAGGCGGCTAGCCGGACCTGCGCGCAGCATAGGCGGCGCGGACCATGGCTTCCCGGGACCCGGCAAGGTCTCGCAGGCATTCGCGCAGGCGCCGCAGCCCGACCTCTTCGGAAGAGGCCACATCGCCCGCTGACGCCAACACTGGGGAGGCACTAGCAGACGGTCCCGCGGCGCCGGCCAACATCCCGGCCACGGACCCGGCTTCCCAGTTCCGCGAGGCACACGCGGACCGCCTGGACTCCTTGCGAGGTGCTCTGGTCGCACGCGCGGCCAAGGGCGCTGACCGATCCACAGGCTCCGCCGCACGCCGGTCTCCGTCACGCGGCAGGGGAGTTCGGCGCCGCCGGGCTCGTGAGAAGCCGGAGCCGCGGGACCAGGTACAGTGCCCTGTCTGCGGCACAAAATGCCACGCCCAGGGCCTGGAGCAGCACCAGCTGTACTCCGCCTATTGCAAGGGACAGCGGGACCGCTGGGCTGGGTGGATGCAGTGCCTGGCCTGCTTGTCTTGGCATGGCAGTGACGAGGCCTTCGAGCAGCACTGCCAGGCCAAGCATCCGGAGGGCGCGCGATCCTTTCGCATTCCCCGGGCAGAGGCTCAGGATGTGAGGGACATGCGCCGGCCCACCTCGCCTGCAAGGCCGCCGGCCTCGACT